GTTACTAGGGGTTAGGTAGCCTTCGGGAGAGCCTGGAGCAAGGTTCTTTTCTGTTTGTTTGCTTGCTTGATCATTTGCTTTGTTGCACAAGCCTGCAGGCTCTGCAAAGCCTCTGAAACATAAGAGGCAACCAGAAGGTGAAATCTGGAAGCACCACTGGAAGACAGCTAAGTGCTAACTTATTTGTTTAACTTCTTTTGTTTGTTTTGCATCACTACCAAGCCTGGGTGGCCTCTGAGTATTATCTACTAGCCTGGCTGCAGCAGAGGCAAGGGCCTTGAACAGTGGGTCCTTGGCCAAAGCCAACAGCAAAAATAAAGCTGGTCAGCTCAACTAGCGTGACCAAACATACCCTGCTGTGATCTGTCGAGGCTCTGCCCTTAGCAGCCTACAGTATAATACTGTGAAGGTGTCTGTCACAGTGTGATGTTATGATGTAATGGCATGGTGCTTTTGGTTTGATCGTGATTTCTCTGAATTTGTTTTGTGAATTGCACCTGGACCCCAGAGAGGCCAGCTTTTTGTACCCCAAACCCTTGAATAAAGTAGCTAAAAAGTAAACAAGTAAAGTCTTTCCTTCCTTCCTCTCCCTCTCTGTCTTTTTCCTTTTCATGCCTTTGCCCCAGCACTCACTTGCAAAAGATGTTTTTGATGCAGAGTTTTTGTCCATACCTCATGTGACCAAGATAATAAGTTTTAATTATCCCCCAAATTAAAAACTTAATAGCATTTTAATAAAAGTCCTGTAACCTGTCAGAACAGAAATGCAAATGAGGCCTGGTCCAGTCAGGTTTTTTTTCCCTCTTAAACAACAGAGGGCTCCCTGAGCCTAGGGCTCTTTCTCCTCCTGCAATTCTTGGGCAGTGCCAGAATGCTTTTTTTTTTCCCTGTTCACTCACAGGTATCACTGAAATCCCTATTCCTTTGGGGCTACAGGACATTTCTCATGTGATTGGTCCCATGAAAGTGCTTTACAGCCATGCCCTGACAGACGTGTATGGCTGCAGACTGCCTTAAGTCTCCAATCACATGACAAATTAAACCTCATTATATGAGAGTTCAGATGAAGGCGCTTCAGAGTGGAGCACCTTCATTAACTTCTGTCTGCTTGGGCGGCTGGGCTGATGCAATCGAGCCCCACCCCTGGTGCTGCCTGCACAATGGAAGGTGGGGGGAGAAGGGAAGGGAGGGAGCTTGGGCCACCTGCACTAGAGGTGGGTGGGTAGATTGGAGCCCCCAGTTCAGGGGGGCTTTCCTAGCACAGGCTGGGAAAACCCCAGCCCAAGCTCCTTCCCTTTCCACTCCCCTCCCATCATGCAGACACTACTGGAGCTCAGTGGGGAGTAGGGCTAGGGGAGAGGAACTGCAAACACACAGCACCTTGGCTGGATCAGCTCCAAAATGGAGCTCAATCCCCCACCCTCGCAACCCAACAGCGAACATCTGTTGAGGCAGGAGGGTCAGTCTAACGCATGGCATTTTCTGTAAAGCACCATAAGTTAGACCAGGGAGCTGCATATCTGTCAACACCCTTAGGTGTGCAAAACAATTTTGCCTGTTCCTGGGAACTTTGTCCAGCCACATGGCTCAACCCAAAACTCCCTGAGGGCAAAGGAAAGATTCAGTAACCTTGAATCAGGACCCAGGAAAAACTGTTTGCTGCATGTATTTGATGGTAAACAGAGATTTTTTTTTTTCTGTGTATAGGTAAGGCATAATTCAGGGCCATGTGGAGATACCCAAGCTAGCTTTCAATGACATGGTTCAGATACTGGAAACTATATATGTTACTGTTTCACCATTCCTAGGCTAATTCCATTTGAGAGACTGAGGCACTGGACTGCAAGTATAGAGCTTCTTACTTTTGATAATGTTACAGATAGATGTAAAATTTGCACAGCTTTCTCTTCTGGCCTTTTACGTGTTCCTGTCTGCATGCAGTTGTAAGTTTGACTTTCATTCCAGACCTGAATTCAGCTATGAGACTGAAGCAAAACAAGAGTGTTTACTGAATTTTTATCTCCTGTGCATAAGAATACTCATGCATATGACAGCAAATCAGAATGTTACACATAATTAGAAAAGTTAATCTAGCTGATATGCTGTTTGCAGGAAATTTGTCCATCTTCATATTTTACTGTTTGCTATGGATTTCAGTATGTCAGCAGGACTGCTCAACTTTCCTAGTGCCCTGATATAAGAAGATGTATTTCCAAGGGGTCTGGTCACACTTGAACTTGCTTCCATAAAGAACTGGATGTTAGGAGGACTGATGTATCAACGTGGTTTTAAAGCAAAGGGTGGTATTACTTGAACCTGCCCCTAGCCAAGCTGCTGCAGCAGGGAAGCAGTTCTGACTGACATGCTGGGCATAGAAAGATGTAATGTTCTGAAATTACAAAAGGTGGAGAGCATAGCCATTAAGTCTACTTGCCTTGCTCCTGTCCATCCCCATCTTCTAATCCAGGTAGGCCCACTCTCCTTCTTCCTACATCCCATGACAGCACCCACATAGACATTCTCCCTATATCCTATGACCAGCACCCACATAGACCGACAGCCTCCAGCTTCATCATGCTTTGTTTCCCTCCCTACTGCCTGCATCACCACTAGTCTCCAGTTGCTTTCTTGAGTTCCATTTGTTTTGTCCATTAAAATTTCCCTCTTTTCTCTTCCTATTTCCTTTTGCTGTTACCAGTGCCTGGCCACACTTCCCTCCCAGCTTCTTCAAACTTCAGGAGACATGACCCCATTGCCACACCTTTACAGGGCTTCTTTTCTCCACTTATAACTACCAACAAGGACATGAATGGGTTTTAGAAGAGCTTTCACATCCCGTGCATAATTCCTTTTATTGTTATTTTTGTTCTGGGTGGGACATACAGTGCCTAGAGAGAAAAAAACACAGAGAACTTCATATTCTCATGTTTGCTCACAGGTAGACTCCCCTTGGCCTGCCCATACCCAGGACCTGGCAATAGGAAAATTTAGCTGTGTGATTACTAAGGGCCAGATTCTATTCCACCTATTAGGTCTCTAAGTCAACTAGGAACAATTCTATTCCACCCCAAGTCCTGAGAATCCATTAATGCATCTATTTTTGTAACACACTGTGATCTTACCCTTTAGGATGAGTTACAAAAATCCAGTGAAGAGCAGGAGGAGGACTCATCCACCTTTTGCATTAACTGTTTTTCAGGGAATCAAGCAGGGTGAAATGGACTTATACACCTAATAGGTGGAAGAAAATCTGGCCGCAAACATTCACATACTGGATGAATTTTGAACAGAGGTGGACCTGTCAGACAAGAGCACACATATGAGTGTAAACTTCTGAACATAGAGCTATGAAGAAGTTCTTGGGCTGGTCTAGGAGGGAAATCTGCACTCCCTGTGGGTTTAGTGGGTGTTGCTGTGCTGACAAGAAGGGCATCGGAGGATGGTGCTGCACTATTAGAGAAGAGTCAATGGCTTGTCTCAATAGTACCCTTGCTAGCATGTCTCATCATATATTTCAAGGAAGGATGCCTGGAAATAGTGGCTTCCTCCTGCTCCAGAACTGGCACACACAACAATCAATGTGCTCTCACTGATGTGAGGACAAGTTAGGAATGTCTTCATTGAAGTCTTTTGAGCTACTTTATGTAGAACCATTGTGAGATTAGTATTGCTCCCTACTCTTTCCAATTGGGAAAAGGGGAGTGGGTTATAAGATGTATGAAAATCTGAGTCAGTTGTACTGCACTTCTGCATTTAAAATATTAAACATACCAGTTTGAGAGGACCCTTTGTTTCTATTCACTGCAGCTTGATCCCAAAGTAACAATATTATATTTTAATGTAATAGATAATAACAATAAAGACTCCAACCACATGGCTATATAGCAGAAAGCCCCTTTTCCTCTTGCCTGAATTTGCTCTCCCCTCTCTGGATATGTTTCTCTTCTTCTACCTTTTTCTTCCTTCCTCTTTCTTTCACTTTAAGATAAGGAATTGTGTTTTAAAATTTGTATGTGTGCATTTTGTATCTCCCCTTGTATTTTGGTATTTTTATCTATTTGTGTGCCATGGCATTTGTAGCTTATATTTTATACTCCTCACCTTTCAACTAAATGTGTTTAGTTTCATAAGTAAATTATACATTGTAACAAGGGCAGGAATCAAACTGCCCTTCCCTGTATCAGGCTGGCTGCTAAAAGAGCGAGTGAATCAGTGGTTGAATGTGTAACATGGTAGCAGGCAGCAATTAACACCTGGGAAACTGCAGATCAACCAACGGAAGAACTCAATAGAAGACAATGTAACAACCGGGAAATCTCTAAATGTCACTGTTCAAGGGCTAGAAGCCCTGGCCTGAGTTAATCAACGCCAGGGACCAACTTTTGGGCTGAATATCTCCAGATCAACCGCTCCCAGAACCCTATTCAAAATTCATCAACGGACTCCGAAACCTGCACATACATGCGGATGACCCCTGGGGCTGACAGATGCCATCCAGTAGCCACTGAGGGGGGAAGTCCCATGAGGGTCAACGACCCCTGGATTGGGCAAACCTGAAAACTGGGGAGTCACCAAAGTCTGCCACGGACAGATAAAAAGCAGTGAATAGTGACCCTCAGGGGTGCCCTCTTGATCTCCAACTTGACCAGCACCCGACCTGTCCAGCCAGAAGGACCAGCCGGTGACCCCCTTCTGGAAGATAACACCACGCTGAAAGAAACCTCAACAGCAGACTCCAGCGCCTGCGGGATAGGTATACCTGACTCGTGTAGCGCGCATGTGTGTGGGGGGGGGCAGCCCCAAGGTTTATGATTTAGCTTCATTACAGTGCTTCAATCTGCCTAATAAACCAGAATTTTAAGGATCCCGAGTTGGACATTTGTATCCAACAACTATTTAGTCTGTTTTAATATTAATTAAGCAAATAAACAGGATTAAGTTTTATATTAACATTGAAAAGTTAATACAATCAATGCAAAAGGATACAACACAATGTTTTCTGTACATTTTATTACAAAATATTACTTGCATCCAATATCAAAGTGGTACTTCATCCATTGTATAACAAAGTTTGAGTCCATAAACAGGGTACATACAGTGACTATCTGCCTTGCTTTTTATTTCAATTAGAATTCCCTTTGGATGGTAGACAAATGAATTTAAGGATGTTCAAGATACAAATATTTAGGCAATAAAATTAAGGCTTCATTCTGTCCTTAATGCTCAAAGTATTTCCTAACAATGCTAGTGAAAATTTAAACAACAAATTATAAAAGAACACGAGCCTATTAGTGTGCCATCTTTTCCCCCCCTACTCTCTCCAGAAAATACCAGATTTTAACATTCATATATAATTACTAGTTAATATTGTACTTTCCCTTTTTTGTATTAATTCAGGTTCCATGTATGGCAGATCAGTTTCTCACTCAGTTTTCCTATTTAAAGCACCATCTTAGTATCATTTTACTTCATATTGAGCAAGCCCCAGTTGAAGTTCTGAATAGGAACAGCTGGACTTATACTGTGTATGTGGTAAATAAATTAAAAGGTAATCATTCTTCACACAAAAGTCCTGCATATAGTTGATTTGTTGCTAACTGTTTTAATAACCATCCTGACAATCATTGTCATCATAATCACCAATGGGTTTGTTGTGATAGACATCAAGCATTAGCTTTCTGTTTTCCATTTCAATGCTCCTGGGTAAGCTGTCATCCTCATGACTGGTTGATTTGTTTGTAGCATCCTCTCGAGAATGACTGTCTCTTTCTCTAGAGTGACTGTAGCTGTCCATTTCTCTAGAGTGACTGTGCTCCTCTTCTTTGGATCCACTGTCATAGGTTTCTGCAGATTTGCTATCTTGGCCTCGCACCTCTTCAGACCTGTCATCTTCATGTGATTCACTGCCAACTAACTCTCGTGATATGCTTTTGCTCTCATCTGATTTACTGTGCGATAGTCTGCTGTCAACAGAAATGGAGTCATTCTTGTCCTCTTCTGACTCCATGCTGTCCTCTGTGGATTTGCTCTTCTCTCGTGATTTGCTTTTATCTCCCTGGTCTTCTGCAGATTCACTGTCAATTGACACTGGCTTGCTGTCATCCTCATAGAAGTCTCTGTCTTTAGATTTGCTACCGCTATATTCATTTGATTTGCTCTTCATTTCCTTGGAGATTTTCTCATTTTCTTCATGGGATTCGCTGCTCTCTTCACTTGATTGGCTGGCGACGTCTTCCCTTGAGCGACTGACATCTTTCCTCGAGTGACTGGCAACACTCTCTTCAGAATGACTGCTGTCTTCTGCAGACTGGCTGTCCTTTCCGGATTTGGCTTCATCTGCTTCCATGGATTGGCTATTATCCTGCTCTATACTGTCATCCTCTCCTGAGTTATTACCATCATTTTGGAACTTATGGCTGTTGGAGTGCTCCACTGATTTACTAATGCCATTCAGCTTAGCTTTGCGGGGCTCCCTACTGCTCTCTTGACTGCTCTCTTTGGAATGAATGGCACTGCGGGTCATTTTGGACTTGCCACCCTCACTCTCAAATATGGATGGGTCATCCCCTTGCATTCCTTCATCATCAAAATCATAGCTCTCCTTGTGGCTAGTTCTGGCACTGTAACTGATATTTCCTAAGCTTCGGTCATACCTGCTAACAATGTGATTTCTATACTCTCTACTGTCAAGGCCTCTGCTTTCGCTGCTGGTCCCCCCCCCTGCTTCTGCCCCAAGTCGGGGCCCAGGCACGATTGGAGAACCCATGCCCTGCCTGTTGCTGCTGCTGCTGCTGCTGCTGTCACTGTCTTTTTTCCTAACGGCAGTATCTCCATGGCCTCTGTGATGAACTCCACTATCAAATGCAGTATACTCATCTACTCCACTGGGATTAACAGTGTAACTAGGATCTTTTCCATTTGTATCTCCTTGATTCTCATCAAAGGTGTCATCTCCACTGTCATCCTCCTCATCTATCAGATCATTTATTTCCTTATTGAACTTCTGAGAGTAGAATCTCTTGGTTTTGTAAAGGGGTCCATTGTCTTCAGTGTTATAATGTTGTTTTGGTTTTTGACTGTCACCCGTATGATGATCTTCATGGTCATGGAACTCACTGACATCCTCCTAGAAGTGTGGAGAAGGGAGGTTAATGTAGTCAGCTGTATTTTGCAAATACTCTAATACATATACACACAACCATCACGTATTTAAACATACGTATAAATGCTAAATCATGTAGGCTCAATAGTACTATCACTTACACCTAGCTCATTCCATAAAAGTCCATGGCATTACAGATATATAACAAGAAATCAATTTTGCCTTGCATGGATTAAAATGTACAGCTAAAAAATGACATGCTGCCCTCAAATGCATTGTGTTACTCTACATGGGCTACCTCCTGAATCAGAAGCATGATAGCCACATTCTCATACTGCTGCAAGTGGTCTCCTGTGGGCTCGTTGGTTCTGTTTCTCAGTGACACAGACACAGAGCTACATTGCTTCCAGAAGGCTTCCTGCACAGAGCAGTACGGTGTGTTTAGGGGCATGTCTGCCTGACACGGTAAGTGTGTAGCATAGAGAAGCCTAAATATTTTTCCCTCATAGACAACTGGCATTCATAGCATTCACAGAATCTGACAAAGTAAGCTGTCATCTCTGAAAGCTCATGCCAGTTAGTCTCTAAGATGTCACCCTGCCCTTCTTTCTGCCTAACTTCAGAAAAACCACTTTTCTATATCTATTAGGAAACCGACCTTCCTTCAGGAGATGTTTGTACTCTTACCAGAGAATGTTCATTTAGCTCTTCCAGGGCCACAGAATCTTTTTGATAGACCCAATTTTTATGTTGAGCCTGCTTAATTCTGACACTATTGTCGTCATCATCATTGTCCTGAGCGATACTTTCATCAACATCATTTCCACTGAGGTCTTCAGTATGATGTTCATTACTATGGCTAGAAACTCCAACAGGGTAGTTATTGCCTTCATTGGTCTCATGTAAAATGTCATCATGTTCATCAGCAATAGAGTCCCTTCCTTCAGTTTTTGTACTGTCATAAGGGCTGCTGTCAGTGTCTTCACCATCCTTTTCAGCAGGCCTTCAGTTTTTGTACTGTCATAAGGGCTGCTGTCAGTGTCTTCACCATCCTTGTCAGCAGGATCTTCTACCTCATTCATACTTTCTTCACTTGTTGCATACTGCAGGAAAGATAACATGAACGTAGTTTGAGTAAGACTACAATAAAACTTGCTTACAATTATGGGGGGGGCATCATGTCCACTTGTGTAAAATAACCTATTAATTGCTGTGCATCTTTGTGGTAGGTAAGCAGCAAAGACTCTGTTAATCACCTATGCCTGTGCACTACCTTTAATTGTTTGTAAAGAGTTTCTGCTTGCCTTATGCTAATGAATATTTATTCATTTATTTATTTATAAGAATGCTTATTACTTATGAATGTATTTCTAAGAATATCTACTTATTTATTTACTTCATTGGGCTAAAAGGATGCTATTTCTGATTTTAATATCCTTGCTTGAAAGTGCTCAGAGACATGTTTAATTAAAATCACTTTTATCTAAATTTGAGGAAAAATAAAAGACATGTTATAATAGTTACCCTGAGGGCAGCTGATATCTCAGATGAATCAACCTGTGGAAAGAAAGTGTTTTTCAAAATTACATCCAGAAATTGATCAAGATGGTAATCTTACCTATAGTTGATAGAGATGTTCAAAACAGAGGATTTAAGTCACAGGAAAACTGAAATCACAAGTGGTTTCGGGCATACACTAGGGCTGCGTGAAGCTTCAGTAGCTGATTCGATTTGGCCCGATTCAGGGACCGAATCTCTGAATCCGAATTTAATTAAGAGACCAAATAAAAACTCTGAATCAATTAAAAGCATCCGAATTGATATGGAAAGGCTTTGGAAAAAGATTCAGCCAATTCAGAGATTCGGCCATAAACTAAACAGGCAGCTAACAGCTGCCTCCAGCTGGTAAGTCTGTTGGGGTTGGAGGGGGAAGGGGGCGTGGGAGAGGAAGGGATTGGGACTGGGGCTGGGACAACCTGCCCAGGTGGACCAGGGGGCACCTTACTCGGGGAGGGGGGCAGGGAGGTGCAGGATGCAATGTAGCAGCGCTGGGAG